CCCCTTTGATGACATAAATCTGAGCTCCTTATCAAACGAGCGTGACGACCTATCTTCTATTCTGAATTTAATTAAAACTTCTCCCTGTCAAATTAATAAATATAGACTAACTACCAGCATACAATAAGATAAAATCGACAAAGAAATATCAGAATGAGCACCCACAGGGATCTCTCATTTTAATTTACAACTTTTTGTAAGTCAACTAACACCTATGTGATTATGATTATGAGTCTGTGGGATGTTCTTCTGTAAAGCTTAGGCTGAAATTTCAAGTTTCAATTATAATTCTTAGCTTCAAAGACTGACCTTCAAACGGAAGAACACGAAATGTTTCTGTAGAGGCAGTCTCAAGCATAACCAGGACAACAAATGATCCAGTCTTCACACCACTAATGCTGCCCGAAATCACCTGACATGAATAACTTGCTAAGAAAAAAACAACAAAACGAAAAAGTAAAAGAAGCATATGTATTTGTCATTTTACGAAGCAAGGTTGTAAGTCACTTTCTGACCAACAGTCCTCGGTGCTCAGGACGTGATTTGGACATGATTATAGTCACGCACATCGCCTTATTTAGACATGATTATAGTCACGCACATCGCCTTTTTTGGACATGATTATAGTCACGCACATCGCCTTATTTAAAGACGGAAACGCCAAGAACCTGATGGAAAAGTCCAACATTAATGACTCGAAATCGCCAAAAAGTGGGCGAACTGTTCGGAAGTTCTCCGAAATTAACGAAACTGTCTGCAATAACATTTAGCCAGAACCGTCTGAAAACGGACGATACCATCTAATATTAGACTGAACAGTCGAATATCGAAGGGAACCATCCGATATTACGGGTGCTCCTTCCAAATTAGACGGATCCATCTTGATTCAAACGGATCGTTTGAAATTAGACTGAAACGTCCCAAATTAGATCCAGCCGTCCCAAATTATTCAGTGTTACAATTAAGAAGTGCACGACTTATTTAGATATAAATGCCGTGAAGCACACCTAACTTTTACCTGCATTGTCGAGAAGATTAATCAAGAACTGGCAGACATTTTTACCACTTGAATCCCTCTGCTCGGTAAAGTTTGCAGGTTTGCCTAGAAACAAAAATAAGTGATAGCTCGTGAACTAAACAATTACACAAGCATAAACACATTCATTCACTGTCAGGAATGATTAATAACTTTTGATGTGCAAAGAGCTTGCACATAAAGTAAACAATAATGAAGTTACCTTTCTCTAGCACTGCCATGAAGACTTTTTCTTTGTCCTGCTCATCTCCTAAACTCAATACTGTCACTGTATGAATTGATGACTGAACTGGGCCAACCATTTTGCTAACACAACCATCCAATACTAGCGAATAATTCTCTGCTGCTAAAGCACAATTTTACAGTCAGGTTCTACTAATAAAGTAGTCTGAGCCTAATGGAGTTCCATTTGCTTCTAAATTAGTACGATCCTTTTGGTGTGGGGAGGCTTACAAAAGACCTTTGTCTATAACAAGACAAGTTTCAAGAACTAGAGGAGGGGTTCTCATTGAGCGCTAATAATTTTCTCCATACTGCTCATCAAAATATCAGTCAATGTAACTGAAAGGGTCACTATGAGTTTTCAACCAGACTTCCTTCAACCAGGCATTGTCATAATATTCTATGTTGTGGTAATATTACATGTTAAAAAGAAAAAAAAATTAAAGATTCGTGGCAGCCTTGAAGATTACTTGTGGCTGCCCCTCCCCAGTTTTCTTTATGGTGCCTGTGGCAAGGGAGCAAGGGTGTGTTGGGTACTGCACAGCAGTGCTACCCAAGTTTTGCAGCACTTATTTATCCACAAATGTCAAAGCTGGGCAAATAAGGCTGAGATTAGATAAGATAGAGGAAAGAGGTAGACAAAGATACATAAATATATTGTACTTTCAAATACCAATAACAACCTATACTTACAGGTAACATAAGCAGGAATTTTTGAGTGATTGGCTTGCAGCTCCAATATGCCAGCCTTTGAATAAAAATATGACCCAAATAGGAATTAGGTTGGTACAGAGTGCTACTTGCCAGAGTCAGTAATACCTTACTCTTTACCCCTCTTTTGGAGTTGCACTTCATTTTAATTGGTTAAAGTTACCTTAATATATCTATAAATTTCATCTTTCATCCAGAAATGAAACATTATGTACATGGCTCTCTTACCGAATGGTTGGGTTTTAGATGACTTTTCTTATAGCAATACACTTTTAAGAGTTACTATAAATCATAGAAAGTAAATACAAAATTCATTCTTACACCAGTATTTATAAGTACTCTGTCGGGAAGAGACAGTGCCCCTTTAACCTCCACAAGTGCCTCTGACTGTCTCATTGCACATCTATTTTTGACTGTGTTTCCAAACTAGAGAAAGATACAATAAATGGTCACAACTTCTCTCCTCTAAGACCAAGAACAAAAAGACAACATAGAGCTTAAACTATGCTTTTGATAACAATGAAGCAAAATCCATTTCTGCCTGTAAGTTTTACCACAGTCCACAATATACAGAGCCAAGACAAAATATTACTGCAGAGTTCTTCTCAATTTAAATGCTCTTGGTTACATAGTTGTGTGCATGCTTTGTGAATTTTACGTTCATCTTGGATAATTCATAAATGTAAATGTTCATACTTATCTCTGCAATCAGCATATTTCAATTCATATTATACTTTGCTCAACTACCAAAAAGAAATGCTATGAAAACCAGTCACTACTACAACTGTAAGTGAATGGTAGAGTTCTAAAGTGTATCGGGTTTAATCACTCACTTGGATCTTCAAAAACATCATCTTTTCAAATTCAGAAGATGTGAAGATGACATGGTTGGACATTTCTAAGGATCCAACAACACAATTTGGACTCAGGTTTGGGACACAGTTGATTGGCACTGAATGGAATATTGATGGTAGCTGTGCTTCCTCTCCAAGTCTGTTGCCAAGTCTTGTGTTATTGACCAGGTAGCTAAATCCATCCAGATGTAGGGTAAGCCTGGTATTTGATATAAATGCTTACTTCAATTTCTTGTAGAATTTAACAAATCCCACTATGGTCTTTTCACACACCCTTCAGAAAAAGACAAAGAGACAAGGAAAGGGAAGGACTGCTAACTCATAATGAATAGCTCGAGGTTTTTAATGTAATCAGTACACATCTTCCTGACAGACAAGCCTTTAACTCATTCAAGCTGAGAGGAAAGCATGGATATGTAAATTGTTTTTTTTTGGTTGAGCAGAAGAAGTAAGCCATTTATATTAGTTTAAAGGAGTTGGCAGTAACACTTGCAAAAGGCTTTCCAAGGTCTGTTAAAAAAAAAGTAGTCTTAGAGAGTTTTCTTGGTGAAAGTGATTTAGTTTGTTATTTGTAAGCAGAAGGCTTGAAAAACTATGAGCCCAATTAAAATAAGACTTCCACCCTGTAGAGTATCTATAGAGTGTTTTCACTTGATGTAAAGGCAACCATGTTAGTGTTGCTAAACAATGACTACTCAGCCAAATTGGTGTTTCAAAAGAAACTGGTCACATGGGTAAAATAGCTCTGTTAAACAGTGTCAGTTGATTGCATTGGGAAAGAAAATGAGTACAATTATTTTCCAACCTGTGAGATTCTAAATAAGGTCCAATGCCACTATAGATGACCTCATAGTGTATAGTTAGTACCCTTTCAGGGATATGAAGAGGAACTAGCCAAGCTGGGTTACACAGCTCTACAAAACTGGAACAGTTGGTTTCAACTTGGCAGCATTTAACTCCAGCTTCTGCCATCTGAACATCTTGTGAGTGCACACAATTGGGTAGAGGACCATCACAAATGCATTGGCTTGACTTGAAATATAACCTGGCCCTTAGATTTGTTTTTATTTCATGCCTATGCTTTAAATTCTTGTGAAATTATACTGATCAAAGCCAAGAAAGTATTACATAATGCCATATAAACCATGTAAGTGAAAAAAACACTCCAACTAACTTCTACTTTCAACACACTACTGCGAAAACTTCAAAACTAGTTTTGTCTACGACCTCGTCAGTTGATGACAAAACCATCAACTGACTTTTGTCATCAACTGACGAGGTCGTAGACGAAACTAGTTTTGAAGTTTTTGCAGTAGTGTGTTGAAAGTAGAAGTTAGTTGGAGTGTTTTTTTCACTTACATGGTTTACATGGCTTTAAATTCTATTTTCAACCTATTTTGTCAGATAACAGATCTTTGGTCCTTTAGACACACTGACTTCATCAACACAGGTCAATAAGTAAACTCGGTTACTTTGTCAATTAATCGATTGATCATACAAGTTTGGGGCGTGGGAATTTCAGGGCCATTATAAACAAATTGAAACCAACTTTATGAAGAAACAAAGTGGTTAAAAACTCAATCTGAATGGAGGCTAACCAAAAGCAACTAAGGAGTTGAACTTGGGGCAACTGAAGAATCCAATAGGTTGAGGTTGCCGCAGTGGAGGGCTTGAACCTGGGACCAGCAGATTACAAGTCCAGCACTAGGCTACTTTGCCTCCACTGCATGACCCAAACACTTTCCCCTAAAGTGAAAACAAACCATTTAACCATACTTTTGGACTTAATTGTCAAATCTCAACCTCAATGGCCTAATCAAGGAATCCATATACCTCTGCAGCCCTTAGATTTTCTCTCTTTCCTTGGATGGAAGAAAATTTTGTTTCAAAAATTGATAGAGACTTCATAATTAATGCCCAGTGTTATTACTATTGTACGCACCTGTCATTAGTAATTGTTTTATTGATGAAATAGCATCCACAAGCTTCCTGATCTCCCATTTCTACCAGCAACGATGATATCAATAATGAAAATCTCCTGGATTTATGCTCACTTAGTCCAAATGGCTCCATTTCAATGCTAACAATGGGATTAACACCTGTCATTATCAATGACCTTACCATTTTGGAGTCAATCTGTACAGAGAAAACAAATGTAAACCAAAGTTAGCATTATGTCCAATGAAATAGGAAATTCACCTTTGGTCACAGGATTTTCAAACAAATTGATAATTCCTTCCATTATGAAATGCTTGCTAGAATACTACCAAAAGATGAATAATAATAATAATAATAACAATAATAATAATGCAGCATTTGTAGTGCACAAATTCCATGTGGATATGCTCAAATGCACATGAATGAATGAACGAATGAATGAATAACTTTAGACACATAACATTGATGAGTCTAAGAAAGACTCGTTACAGAAATGTACATGTATTTACAATAGTTATGAGTATTTAAAAGTTATAAGTATTTAAAAGAGTATTTAAAAACAGACTAAGAATTAGTACAAAAAAATTAGAATCATTTATACCATTGCCTACAATATAATCTAGTCAGATTAGGAATCACAAGTCAATAACTTAACTTTCCTGAGTTGGGTAAGAAAATTTTTAAGGTTGGGGGCCGCCCTAATATGCAAAGGTAAATTGTTCCAAAGATGACACGCAATATATGAGAAAGATCTGTGTTTATAATTAGTGTCGGGGGCCGGCTGGTCGAGTCTGCTAACATGACCACAAAGATTGTAAGTGCAGTTTTTTATTCTAAACATATTACTTATATAATTAGGATAGCCTTTGTACACAAGTGTGCGAGCTTGGACCAGGCACCTATGGTTAATGGAATCTAAATTGTACTGCGACTGTATCTGCTCGTAACTAATAGACTTGGGTAAATTAAAGAGAGTTCTAAGTACATAATAATTGGTATGTTCTAATTTGTCTGATAAAGTGTTATTAATTCCTATCAAAAAAAGACTACAATAGTCAAAGTGAAGTAGAATGTAGGACTTATATAATTTAAGTACTATGTTGTTGTCAATAAATTCCTAATTTAGGAATTTACTTAAATCTGACATATTCACTTGATCCATTTTGCCGTAACCCTTTACACCTGGCCCTGACATCAGTATTTATCAACTCTGCACTGTTCTTTATAAATTTCCTATGGTACTGACAAGAAGCTGTTTAACAAACAGGGCCCCTTCTTAAATTGGTAGCCTTTGCATTTCATTTAAGGGTGATAATGTAGAGAGAAATTAGGAGCCACACACTCTTATTTGATTAAATTAATCAATTGATGATCACTATTTCAATTTCTGTAGTTGCTTTAGTTATCAGTTCTAAGACTGAAAAAAAAAAACTTCCAATATGATAAAATATCAGGGTCCACTTGTATATGGAAATGCTTTTTCTTCAACTCTAGTTGCTCCTAAAAAGAGTGTCAGAATTGCTGATTGGGGTTGAAGCATTATGATTTCCTTTCATTTTGAGGACATTTTGTACGGTTTAATCCATATCCCACTGATTATGGCGCCCAAGGGGCAGGTATTGAAAAATACGGCCAGTAAGTCTCACCCATGTGGATCTCTAAATCCTCAGCCAACATCTACCAACATGATATTTCAAGGGGTGCTTTGCGTTTAAACAAATCAAGGTTAAGTTTGTCATGAATTACCCAACAGGTAATTTGCAACCAATCACTGGTTACAATGGTGAAAGAAAATAAATGTTGGTGGACGAACAAAAGCAGCTAATGTTTACGTCCATCAACATGGCGACAATGACGTAACGAGCAAACCACCTGTGGATTCAAAGTTAAGGTTCTCACCCTGTCATCGCACTTTACTCTAATCCTCAACAAATACTGTCCACCTGGAATAATGAAAAACGTCGGCTTTGAAGGATTTTCCTTCTTCACTGCATCTAGTACCCACCAACATGGTTTTTTCGAGGCAATACAAGGCGTGAAGCTGAGCACGAGTACGAGGACGATAAAGATGGCGAAGTACTTCCAGTTCTCCATTATTCTATGGCTTTTTCATGCCTTTCTCCTTCAATTTGTAAGTCTCACGGCTGAGTTCGATTACTTTAGTAGCGAGAGATATTGAAACTATAGTTTCATCGATGTTGGGTCGTTGTTTTCACCTGGTATTTTCTAGAAAGAGCCTTTCAGCTGTATTTAAAAACGTTAACCTTCCACCTCTCTCTATATGATTAATTTTGGTCTTTCCCAGTCCTCTTTCCCTGCATTGTAACGCAAGTGACTTATGGAAATGTCACGCAACTGTAGAGAACCTTCTCCACGATAGAGACTCCTTCGTGAAAGCTATGGGCTTTGTTTTAAACATTTCCGGGGTCCAAAAATCCATATCCAAAAACCACTATCTAAATGACATGTCTCTTTATATAAAATAAAGTGGGGTCGGAATGGAGATTAAGCTTCGGTATATGGTATTGCAATTAGTAAACAGAACTCTTACCGAGAAAGCAGAACCTTTTCCTGCGATACTCAAGTCGGGGGAGGGGTCTCCGATTTTTTTCAATTTCGGGTAGTTTCTGTATTTTTTTCCTAACATATTCCCTTTCTTGCAAAAGAATGTCTCTAGTATCTCTAGGTTATAAAAGCTTTGATTTTTTTTCCTTTGAAAATTTTCGATAGCAGCGGAATTTTGCTTTCTTTGTTATATCTCATCCGTTTAATGTTTATGAACGAACCCGCAAACACACTCAGAAAATGATAACCTAGATGATTTTTGACTGAAGATTTCCCACCAATCTACACTCGAAAGATAAAAAAAAAATATGAATCAAACAACACAAATAAATCGTTTTATTTACTTGTTTATCCATTGCTTCATCGTTTATATTACTTATCATTTTAGGTACATCTCGTGATCTCCCTTTTGGTATAAGTTTTTTAACCGAACTCTTTTTTTTATTTCTATAAAGGTTTTAACTAGCTTTCACAGCGCTACAAGGCTCAAGCGTTTTCAATTCGATATTATTATGTCACTGAACGAAGATGTACCCCATTGCTTTTAGATGTTTACCACCGCGCGAATCCTCGTTGCCACACGAGCTGCTATCATCAGGCCGACCACCAGTACCAAAGCCTATTCTAGATGACCTATACCACCTGCAGGTGTTTCCCTGGGCACCAACTATGCCAATTCTAGCTTTGGAGTAGCTAGAATCGGGTATGACATTGAAGCCCTCCCTGTAACAGTCTGTCTGCAAAGAGGCTTCGGAACCAATCAACGTCTTCCAATTTTCAGGCCCGTACGAAGTGTTATGATATCCTCCACTGGCAATCAATGAATGCAGGGAATTGGCGTGGACGTTCATGACACTGAATCGGACTGGCTGGAGGCCGATCTTCATTCCGAGACAGATCTTGGAGAAGGGTGTGTTCCAGTAGGTGGGCAGTTTTGTTTCTTGTCGGTCAAATCCAGTCATTCCTCCTTCTAAGTTGTAGTTTTCTTTGTTGCCCCAGAATTTTGAGTCGTAGTGAAAAGTCCGCTGTGATAACAAAGCAAACGGAAATAAAGTTCGTCACACAAACACAGTTTTATAGTCGAAAAATACTATTCCGGACTCGCTCAGACCCTTCTCATCAAATCCAGGGGCTTAAAAATGTCAACTACGAGTATTTCCATTATCGGATTTTAATCTACATTTTCCTTTGTTGATTTTCTCACAGCTTTGCTGACTGATGGGCGTGATCAGGGGTTTTGACCTTCTGTTATAAATTTTAGTTTCGTGAGTTCAACAACCTCCCCCGACGATAAATGATCGAATCTAGGCGACAGCATTTATAGTTTCCTTCCTACACTGTATTAATGAGCTTTTCAAAGGACCTACCTTTTGGCCGTCAATCTTCATGACCAGCGTCCATCCACCTCCTCCGCATGCACCCATGCCAGATTTGGTCATGTGACAGTAAATGGGGACATAACCACATTCCGTCTGAAGCAGGTAAGCATCGTTTGCCAGAAACCTGATCTCGACGAGAAAGATAAAGGTTGATGAGAACACCACTGACAAGGCAGACTCAATCTTGGCATTTGGTAAATCAAAGAGTAGTAGTTGAATATATACCTGAACAAAAGTTTTGTGACAGGCGGAACGGCGAAAAAAAAAAAACTGCTGAAGCTGGCTATAAGGGACATATGCTAGCGGAAGGGGAGAATCTTATGAATCTGTTGTCTATAGAAATAAGATAGTCGATTTTATTTGAGCCCTAATCGTTTCCATTTTCCATGAAAACTCCTGGCTAAGATTTCATAGAATTTTCTCTCTGCTAAGGTTTGCTACAGAACTTCTCTTTTACCATATAATGGCCAAGGGAGTTAGCTCGTAGGAGACATGAAAGGATTTTCCATCTACACATCGTAACTATCTGAATCTTTTTATTTAATTATTTCCCTTACTCTTGCAGACACTTTATTTTTCTCGATATTTTTCTCAAATTCTGCCATGGGGTCTTCAGCTTTGCGCTTAAAGCTATTACCGGACATTATGGAGACATTCTCAAAACCCACAGCCAAACGGCTTTTAACTCTGTAAAAATTTAAACCAATTCTCACCTGTTTTTCGAATAAATCTCTTTGCACGACGATGCTACCTTTTCTGAAAGGAGAACAGCAAAGGTAATAGCCCATAAGTTGAACACTCGTGAATCTCCCAGTTTTATTTAACACAACCCTCTAAAAAATTAAGACCCATTAATGAAATTAACCATCGAAACACAATCCCCATACCTTTGTACGGAATCCATGGCATGCCAGCCTTGTTCTGCAGTGAGTCTTTGATGAGTTTCTTAACTTCGTCATTCTTCATGCTCGACGAAGATCCAGCGATGTTTTGCAACAAGCCAAGCACCTTCGTTAATCCATCGTTCACCCGCTCTAAACTTTCGCCTTGCTTCTTAAAGTCGTCACTGGGACGGACCGATGAGGTGCCAACTTTCTTCTGCAGAATAAACAGGGCAATGAGTCTGGTTAAACGCTCGTCCACTTTCTGTATCTTTTCATCCAGCTTGTTGGTGCCTCCATTAGTGAACGTGGCTTGGTCTATGTACTGGTAAGTAATATGTGGACCGTGAGGCGAGGACCCGTGAGGATCTGAAACATTCATATTTTTGTAGGTGACTTTGCTAGCAGTTACTTGGCCAATTAACAGAGATAAAATTATACCAGGTAGCAAGAAAAACTGCATTATGGCCGAAAAACGTACAGGCTGTTAAAGCTTTGACTGACTTAGGTGCAGTTACACACCTCTTACATGGACATAACGTGTCTGCGTTCAACATTTAAATGCTCCAAATTTTAAAGTCTTGGGGAAGACCATTTTTGGAAGATATTCAGCTTATGCTTGAAGAAGTCAATTTGCATATTTTAAAAGATAAAAGTTTTTTATCACTTCCTCACAACTAATTTCCCTGTTTGCATTATCACAATAAGAAAATTAAACTAAGATACTTTCTCGAAATGGGGCAATTATTTGAATTAAAACAAATTAAAATGTATGAATAAATAAAATCAGTAAACAAGAAATGAAAGCCACGATACTTGTGTCAGCATCTTAACTTACACGTGTGTTGAGAAGGAAAATAAAATCGAATATAATGAAGTAATCCGCTATATTTTGAAACTAATCGAGGATGTTAAGTATTTTGTTACATCAAAGATGCATTTGATATTTTCAGGATAGTAGTTCAATAAAAAATAATCATAATTATCGTGTGGTCATAACGTAATAAGTTGTGCGAAAAAAGAGTCAAGACTAGTTACACAACTGAGAAAGTTAAAGCCATCTTTCATTTTTCCCTGCGCATGCGCCTTTGGCCGCTTACAAAGCGACCTTACACTACAATAATGATACTAAAAAATGCAGTGACGGTGAAAAGCAAATATTTCCTCTCTCTTAATTTGTCTAATTGTCGCTGTATTTATGTACATGGCTGATGATCACCTTTTCTTTCATTAACGTTACACGATTACGCCACATCACGGGAAAAAGGGGCAGCAGGATACACTGTAAGAATGTTATTGATCAGCTGAAGCGACACTGAAAACAGCTAAGCGCATATTTAAATGCAATAGAAGCCATCATAACGGCTGGACAAGTCAAAAATTGGAATTACAAGGGGTGAAGAACAAATATAATATCATTCCTAAGTGTGGAATTTTTCCACATATTGCACGCTACAATTAAATTTCATTCAATAGCTTAATAATTATACTGGAAACTTTATTTGTTTTTAAATGTACAATTGTAAATCTCACTACGTATAGGAAATTTACAAATGCTGCTTGAGATTGGCTTATTCAACACACTCACAAAGATCAAAATTGCATCAAATCTGGGTTGTCCAAGTTCCTATTACTACAATAATAATAATCGAAACTTTATTTGTGTTTTTAAATGT